CGTCGGGAACCAGGACCTCGGCTGGGCCAGGCTCGTGGGCGGGGGGCGCAGCGGCGCCGGGGGCGGGGCCGTGCGTGCGCTGGTGCAGCAGCAGGTTGGAGGAGTGCGTGAAGGTCTTTGGGCAGAGTGGGCAGCGGAAGGGCCGCTCGCCCGTGTGCACACGCTGGTGCTGCCGTAGGTTGGTGCTCTGCGTGAAGCTCTTGCCGCACACGCCGCAGGTGTAGGGCCAGGCTCGTGGGCGGGGGGCGCAGCGGCGCCGGGGGCGGGGCCGTGCGTGCGCTGGTGCAGCAGCAGGTTGGAGGAGTGCGTGAAGGTCTTTGGGCAGAGTGGGCAGCGGAAGGGCCGCTCGCCCGTGTGCACACGCTGGTGCTGCCGTAGGTTGGTGCTCTGCGTGAAGCTCTTGCCGCACACGCCGCAGGTGTAAGGGCGCTCCCCGGTGTGCACGTGCCGGTGGCGCCGCAGGCTGGACGAATTCTTGAAAGCCTTGGGGCAGTCCGGACACGGGTAGGGCCGCTCCCCCGTGTGCTGCCGCAGGTGGTACTGGTAGTGCGACGACCACTTAAAGGCAAGGCCGCATTGGCCGCAGGTGAAGGCCCGCAGGCCCGTGTGCACGCTGCGGTGGATCTGCAGCAGGGACGAGCGCTTAAAGGCCTTGGGACAGTCGGGACACTGGTAGGGCCGCTCACCCGTGTGGCCTCGCTGGTGGTAGAGGAGGGCGGAGGAGCCCTTGAAGGCCTTGGGGCAGTCTGGGCACTTGTAGGGTCGTTCTCCCGTGTGCGTGCGCTGGTGGTGCAGAAGCCGCGACGACCACCGGAACGACTTGCCGCACTCCCCACACTCGTACTGAGCTGTTGGGGTGGGGGCTGGGGCGGCGGTGCCCGGCTTTTCCCCGGTCCCCTCTGCCGTCGAAGCTGGTGCCATGTCCACGTGGGAGCCGACCATCACACCTGGGGGAGTGATTCTGATGAGAGTGGGCCACACAGCTCTTCAAGGGACCGGGCAGCCTACCTAAGGACTACATTGGTTCACTCTAAACTCAGTTGCCTTTTTAAAACCCCTTCCTAAGGACTGGAGAGCTGGCTCCGCGGTTAAGAGCACTGGCTGCTCTTGCAGAAGACCCAAGTTCGGTTCCCAGCACCTAATGGTGGCTAACAACCATCTGTAATCCAGTTCCAGGGGATCTGACGCCCTCTTCTGGCCTCCGTGGGCATTGTACCAGTGCAATTACATGCAGGCAATAATACATTCATGATAAAATAAATAAAATACTTTAAAATCTTTTGAAAATTGTATATGTATGAATGTTTTGGTCTGCCTGTATGTCAGGACACCTGTATCATGCAATGCCTGTGGAGGTCAGAAAAGGGTGTCCCCTGAAACTGGAGTTACATTCGAACCCTGGTCCTCTGCAAGAGCAGCCAGTGCTCTTAACTACTGAGCCATCTCTCCAGCCCCCTAAGGTCAGTGCCCTGAAGAGGGCTTCCTGGTGAAGACTTCCAGGATTCTCCACTCCCACGTGTTCCTCTAAGTTGCACTCCAAGGAAAGCATCCCACTCCACCACCCACTTGCCTCCCAGGCATTCCCCTTTTGCATCCTCTAAATGCCTAGACCAGTGGAGCAATGACCCGGTTCCTGTGGGATCTATATCCTCCTCCACGTCATCACTACCACCCCAAGTGTAGCAGACTCACTATTACAGTCACTCCCTTCCATAACCAGCCCACACTGGCCTGTCTCACTGTGTACACATTTACTTCCCAGACTCAACGAGCTCCCTCACCCTTCCTGGTGACAAGCCACTTCTCTGATCCCTACAATCCCGGGTGACCCCCTAACGTATTTCTTTCCTCCTGAAAGCTCCACAGCCTCCTCTCCCTTCCCTGCTCTTAGCAGGTGACCTTGCCCTGGATCATTCAAATGAAAGAAAAGTAACAGCAATCAGAACAGAATGTTCTCACGCTCCAATCACCTGCCCTGGTGGTTTCCAAGGTGGCACCCAGGGGCCATTTGGTGATGCCTGGAGGTACTCACTGTTGCTTGTCTGTCAGGTGGAGGGGCAGGGGCGCTAGTCAACACCCTACGAAGCACAGGAACCCCCATATGAAGGATCCAGCCCAAAATATCAGCAGCTTGAGGCTGAGAAACTGTACCTCCCTTTCCCACAAGCCACCTGTGCCATGGCCTCTGACCTCCCATGACATCGTTTTCTTCTCCCAGACCATTCCCAGCAGCAAACTGGTCTTTTTAAAGAAACACACACCCTTTGCCTCTCTACCCCCTCCAGCCATGCATGGCCTTGCTTCCCCTCACAGCTCAAGAGAATCAATCTGCTCTTCCCCTCACCAACCACTGCAGTCACCCCTGGTCCCACACACCCCAGCTCCCTGCTGTTGAGTCCTAGAGCTCTGTCCTTCCTTCAGCCATGACCCCTGGCTTCAGGAAGCCTGGCTCGCCTCCTTCCTGTCACCATCCTGCCTCTGGGCTGGATCCTTCTCAACCCCAACTTGGGATAGCTGGGACTCAGTCAAGATTTGCTGCTCCTCTCTCTGGCCCCTCTCAGGACTTCATGAGTGTCCAGAAATGTGGCTCCACTCAGGAACTCTTGTTTGTGCCAGGAGCTCAGTGCATTGTGCCTAAGACACTTCACACTCAAGAAAAAAAAAAAAAAATCTAACTCTAAGTTTGGAGGGTTTGTTTTTGCTTCTGTGCAAAAAAAAGTCCGGCTGGGTTGTGATCAGTTGGTGGAGTGCTTATCAAGCACACGTAAAGCCCTGATTAAATTCCCAGCACTGCATCAACTGGGTGTGGCGACACTGGGTTGGAACCCCAGGACTAAGGAGGCTGAGGAAGGAGAATGTTGAGGTCCAGGCCAGCATGGACAGCTATAACTCCTGTGCCAGAGCAGAGGACAAGTACCCTACAGGAGTCCATGACTTCCCAGGGCCTGTGGCCTTCTCTCTTGCTGTCCTCTCAACCAGGTAAGGAACGACCCTGCCCTGAGGCTCCTGCCTGGTACCCCTACCCTCTAATAGCCACAGCTCTGTCACCTCCAGGCCTTCACTGCAATCACCTCAGCAACACCTCACCACTCCATTTAAATCTGCAATCCCTTCCTACAGTCCCTGTTCCATTCTAAATACTAAACAACCAGCAGAGATTTGGGAATGGACCAACTCAACCTCAGCAGAGATTTGGGAATGGACCATTCTCTGTCAAAGAGGGTTGTCTTGTGCATTATTTGGTGTTTGGCAACAACCCTGAACTGGACCCACTAGATGCCAGGGGCAACCACACCCCTGCAAGTGTGATAACAGCATGGCGCCATCCTGATCGTTCTCTATGAAGTCCCCCATGACACTGTTTACAGAGCACCTCCAGTCACTGCGGCAGTGCCACCCCAGGAGAGCATCACCACCACATAAGCTCTGTGCCGCTTCCTGTTGTATTCTGCCTACTGTCCAGTGCCATGAAAAGAGACCCCTGTCTTATGACTGTCAGTGCCTACCAGAACATCTGACTGTGTGCTCAGTAAAGTAGCTTGAGTGAACAGAGACTAGGCATCCCCTTTGGACAGGCATAAGGATTTTCTTTTCAAAAAGATGGGCATCCTGGGGCTGGAGAGATGACTCAGATGTTAAGAGCACTGGCTGCTCTTGCAGAGGACCCGGGTTAGGTTCCCAGCACCCACATGGCAGCTAACAATCGTCTGTAACTCCAGTTCCAGGGGATCCGACGCCCTCTTCTGGCCTCCGAAGACATTGTGTGAACGGGTGCACTTACATACATGCAGGCAAAAAGCTCATATACCTATAATAAAAATAAATAAATCTAAATTTTCTTAGAGAGACCGAGGCCAAGAAGTTGTTTACGTGCCTTTCAGAAGCTGTACATCAACCTTTGTTTTGTTTTGTGAGACACGATCTCCCTGTAACCCCAGCTAGCCTGGAACTCACTGTGTAGACTACAGAGATCCTCTTGTCTCTGCCTCCCGAGCTCTGAGATTAAAGCGGGCGCCACCACGCCCAGCGATCGGACATCTTTAACACAAGATGCTGGTGCTGTGGAGGAACCGGGACCCATCTTACCACTGAGCATTTCCTTTAAAAGGCTGGACTTTAAGAGGATGCTTTTTGGGGTTGGCATGGGGCTTCCTTGGTAAGTGTGCTTGCCTAACATGCAGGAAGCCCTGGGTTCCATCCCCAACAAAGCCTAAAATTGGACGTGGTGGCATACACCAGCAATCGCAGCATTTGGGAGGTGGAAGCAGGAAGTTCGGAAGTTAAGATGTCATCCTCGGCTACATACAGCTTTCGAGGCCACCCTGAGCTACATGAGACCCTGTCTCAAAAAAAAAAAAAAAAAAGTAGGGAAAACGCAGGAAGGTTTGCAAATTGCACAGCTAAACACAGCTCCTAACCCCTTTAAGAGGGCGGAGCCTGCTTAACGGATTAAAAGTCGGAGGCGAAATAGCGACCTTCCCCTTAAGGCACCCCTTCCGGTTTCACGCTCGCCGTTTCCCAAACGACTCCGCCCTCCGGCCCCTCCCCCACCGCGCCCTCCGGTCTCTCACCTGCGGCCCGGGTCGGGCAAATTGCACAGCTAAACACAGCTCCTAACCCCTTTAAGAGGGCGGAGCCTGCTTAACGGATTAAAAGTCGGAGGCGAAATAGCGACCTTCCCCTTAAGGCACCCCTTCCGGTTTCACGCTCGCCGTTTCCCAAACGACTCCGCCCTCCGGCCCCTCCCCCACCGCGCCCTCCGGTCTCTCACCTGCGGCCCGGGTCGGGGGGAGGGGGGGGTGGGCCAGGGGGAACCCCAAGACCTGCCCGCGGGGGCCGACGGGAAGCGGGGCCCGGCACAGCGCTGCAGGAGCCGCGGCCCGGGAGGGGGCGGGGGCGTGCTCCCTCCCCACGGCCCCCAGCGCGAGGCACCCAACCTTTATCAGCGGCCTCTCGCGCACACAAACCCCGCCGCCGCCGTCGTGCGTCGTGACGCAAGGCGCCGCGCCCACCCCGGTCCCGCCCACTGCCTCCGTGCGCTCTGGGTGTGCATGGTGGGGACCGCGACCCGGGTCGCGGGTGGAGATCGGTCTGCCGTAGAGAAGTTCTTCCTGGTACGCGCTGCAGAAATCGGAAACTGAGGCACGCAGTTTTCTGGCCTGGGTCGGGGGAAAATCCTGCTTCTGCCCCTGCCCGACCTGGGGTTGGGGTCACAACGGCTATTCGGCGACTCCTTGCTGCCGACCAGGGGTTCCCACCCAGAGCACTAGTGACGTTAGGCAGGTCGTTTTTGTTGTCTTAATTTTTCTTTTTCTGAGCCAGGGTCTCTTGTCCCTCGGGCCTGGAGCGCATGCTCTTGCCTCCACCTCCCCAGTACTGGGGTTCTGGGCAGGTGCCTTCACACTGACTGGGATGCGCCATCCTTGGCCTCTGCCCACTGGATACCAGTGGGAATACTCTGTGCACAAACACACACACCCCTTGGGTGTCAGGAGACATTGCCAGATATCCACTAGTTCAGAGTCAGGACTCCAAGGTGACTAATCTCTCTCCCCACCTCCCGTTTAGTTCCCTGATCCTCCCTCTACTTCCCAAGTGCTGGGATTACAGGAATACTCGAGCCATTTTCTGCTACCTAAAGTCCACTTGTCAATAGCGAGGGGCCAGAGACAGAGCGCACTGCACCTGGGTGCTAATTCCACTAGACGTTCAGGGACCTCAACTCACACCAAACTGGGGTTCATGGCGTTGATGCTGGAAAGAGTCTTACAACCATAGCAACCTTATGAAGCACAGTTGGTGATTTCATTAAAGATATTTTAATACAGGTTTAAGCACAAGGGCTGAGAGAGAGGAGCTCAGAAGAAAGACACATTCTAGGGCTGGAGAGAGCCCAGTGGCTATGAGTAATGGCTGCTCTTGCAGAGGACCCAGGTTCGAATCTCACCACCCACATAGGGGGTAAAAACCGTAACTCCAGTTCTAGGAGATCCGATGCCCGCCTGTCCTCCATGGGTGCATTTACATACATGCAGGTGTAACACTCATACACATAAATCAATCAAGAAAATTTTTTTAAAAGAAAGACACATCCAATTGGGTGCATATGTTTCCCCACGGGGAATAGGGAAAACTAAGATGCACTCAAGTGTGGGTATTGGCTCCTCACGGAAAGTAAGCAGTTAATTGTCTTAGCACTACTATTTTCCTGACTCAATTACATTTCAGAAGTTTGCTATGAAACTTTTTTTTCCTCTTTATTTATTTAGTTAATTGGTCTTTTATTTGAGACTGGGTCTCTCTGTAGCCCCAGCTCTGTAGTTCCCAGCTGGCATGGAACTCACTATGTAGACCAAGCTGGTCTCTCCACTTGCTGATCCTGATATGGAGATCCACTTGCTGCCTGAGTGCTGGGATTAAAGGCCTGTGCCACCACACCCACCTCAGCCCCCTCCCCTTTTCCTTTAATAAGAGAGTTAAGTGAGGGACTGGACAGATGGCTCAGTGGTTAGCAGGCATACTGTTCTTGCAGAGGACCTCAGTTCAGTTCCCAACACCCACTTCAGGAATCTCACAACTCTATGACACCTTCTGATCTCTGTGAGCACTGCATTCACATGCACATACAACACAGACACAGACACATAATTTAAAAATCTTCAGGGAGCTGGAGAGATGGCTCAGCAGTTAAGAGCACTGACTGCTCTTACAGAGGACCCAGGTTTGGTTCCCAGCACCTATATTGTGGCTAACAACTGTCTGTAACTCCAGTTCCAGGTGATCTGACGCCCTCTTCCAACCTCTGTGGGCATTGCACAGCATGAGTGCACTTACATACATGCAGACAATACACTCATACACATAAAATAAAAATTTAAAATAAAAAATAGATCTTTGAAAAACAGCCAGGTGTGGTAGCACGCCCCTTTGATCCCAGCACTTGGGAGGCAGAGGGAGGTCGATTTCTGTGAGATCAAAGCTAGTCTGCTCTACATAGCAAGTTCTAGGCTAACTGGGGCTAAAGGGAGACCCTGTCTCAGAGAGTGGAGTAGACCAGACTTGGTGGTGCATGCCTTTAGTCCCATCGCTAGGGAGGCAGATGCAGGCTGATCTCTGTGTCAGAGCTACATAGTGAGACTTTATTTTTTTAAAAAAGAGAGGGGGCTGGAGAGATGGCTCACAGGTTAAGAACACTGACTTCTTGCAGAAGACCCAGATTCGACCCAGGTCTAACTATCTGAAACTCCAATTCCAGGGGATCCAGTGGCCTCTTCTGTCCTCTGCGGGCATTGCAGGACAAGGCTGCACTTACATACATGCAGGCAATACAAGCATACACATAAAATAATAAAGTATTTTTTTAATATGTGGGGAAAAAACCCCAAAAACAAAAAACAAGGAGAAAGAAGGGGATCTGCAGGAGGGATGGCTCAGTCGGTAGAGTCCTTACTACTCTTTCCAAGAACCCAGTTTGGTTCCCAGCACCCACATGGTGCCTAGCAACCATCCTTAACTCCAGTTCCAGAGGATTTGATGCCCTCTTCTGGCCTCTGTGGACACTGCACAAATGTGGTGCACTTACATACATGCAGGCAAAACACTCATAAAATAAAAAAACAAAGTCTTAAATTTTAAAAGAGGGACACATGCACTGGTTCCAGAGATGCCCTGATGGAGGTATAATCTGATAGGGTAAAACCAGTAGCCATTAGGGTTGAACTAGAGTTTTAAGGCAGATCTTTCTCCTGTAAATGCCGTATATGCTGAGATTCTTAGACATTTTCAGGTTTATAGCTGGGAAGGGAGCTCAAGTAGTTGTTAACGCTGCTCAAAGTATTTTGATTTCTTTTTATGTGTATAAGTGTTTTGCCCACATGAATGTGAATGCACCTGTATTGTGCAGTGTCCACAGAGACCAGAAGAGGGCATCAGATCCCCTGGAACTGGAATTACAGATGGTTGTTTGCCACCATGTAGGTGCTGGGAACCGAACCCTGGTCTTCTACAAGAGCAGCCAGTGCTCTTTACCACTGAGCCAACTCTCCAGCCCCTTTAGCTCCATTCTTAACTCCCTGTCTTTGTTTTTTGAGGCTTTTGTTATTGTTTAGGTTTATGGATTCCTTACTTTTGCCTCACAGTTTCAGAGGATTTCAGTCCATCACAGTGGGGAAGGCCTGGTGGAGTTCATGGTGGTGGGCATATGTAGGAGCCTGCTCACATCATGGTGGACCAGGAAGTAGAGCAAGTGGAACAGGAACCAGAAGCCAGACTGTAATACAAGATTTTCCCCTGAGTCAAACAAGTGCTGTCCTCAGGAGTTCAGCTGTGCCCCTTGCAGAAGATCATCACAGCTGGGCTGGCTTGTTGGTTATTGATGCACCACATAGGACAGTCATGGAACCCAAGCCTGAGTATCCAGCCATGCTTCCCAACCCATGACAGGCAATTTAGCCCTAATTGCATGTCCCTCTGGGAAGGGCTAAAGTACACCGTCTAGGGGAGACATAGGAAAGAGACCTCCGTCTGTGCTGGGTGAGGACTTTCTGGTGCAGCCTTAAGGGGGAGCAACACACTCCTGTCATTAATTAATCTTTTACCCATTGATCTGTAAGTAATCCCAATAAACTCATTGGTTTCCCAGAGTGCACTTTGGTGGAATCATGCCCCAGATTGTTGTTGGGACCAAAGGAGGTGGGAGTAGGCCCTGTTCACAGCTCCCCCAGGGAAGTGGAGAGACACCTCAGTCAATAAAGTACTTACCAAGCAACAAACATGATGACTAGAATTCAGTCTCCAGAACTTTGTAAAAAGGCTAGCTGTGGGAGCTGGAGAGATGGCTCAGTGGTTAAGAGCACTGGCTGCTCCTGCAGAGGACCCAGGTTCAGTTCCCAGAACCCACATGGCAATTCACAACCATCTTAACTCCAGTTCTGAGGCATCCAAGCATCCAGCGCTCTCTTTTGGCCTCCTCAGGGACTGCACACACACGGTATATTTATTTATTTTTGTCTTTTTGAGACAGGGTCTAGCTGTAGCCCCCAGCTGGCCTGGAACTCACTGTGTAGACCAGGCTGGTCTTGAACTCATAGAGATCTGCCTGCCTCTGGCTCCTGAGTGCTGGGATTAAAGGCATGTGCCACCACACCTGGCTACATGGTCTATTTATATACATGCAGGCAAAGCATTCATACACATTAAATAAATACATGAAATCTTAAAATATCTGGGGAAGTGGAGACAGGCAGATCCCTGGGGCTCAGGGTCAACCAGACTAGCCTACTTGGCAAACTCCAAGCCAGTGAGAGACTCTGTCTCATAAAACAAGGTAAATGGGGCCTGAAGAGCAAAGACACTCCACTGTTGACTTACTGCCTAGAGAGAGAGAGAGAGAGAGAGAGAGAGAGAGAGAGAGAGAGAGAGAATCTCAAAGTCAACAAAAGGAAGTTAAACATTCCCAATACACAATGGTATGCACAGAGTAAATATTCCCATTCCAAAAGGGAGGAATGGGGGTGGGGGCGGGGGAGGGGGTGGATAACAAGAAAGACTGAACCAAAGCAAGACCCAAAGCCAGCAGGGAAAACATTAAATCCTGGACCTCTACATCCACCGTCAGGGGCACAAGGTATCACTGTAAGGCTCTGCTGTGTGCAGCGTACAGGGCCTCACTCCAGTTGATGCCACGCTCAGCAAATGTTCTGTATTCTTGGTGTTTCCAACATCCTCAGGTCTCCATGGAACTCACACTTCACTTCTACAGGGCTCCCCAAGGGAGTGGGAATCCTACCCTGCTGCACATTTTCTGGCCTCTCGGGCTTTTCTCTGGCACCTTGGTGCAAGTTCACGTGACCCAACAACTCTTACAAGCTTCAGGCCTACAAAACCTCACCACAGGCCAACACCTTGATGTAGCTGGGTGGGCTTTTACCACAGTTGAAGTGGCCTTTGAGAGTCTGCATAGCTAAACGTGGGGGAACATTTCCCTCAACAGCTCCTTTCCAGCGGGGTACTCATTCAGCTCCTGTGGGATCATGGGGCCTTGCACCAACCAAGGTGCCGGAGAAAAGCCTGGAAGACCAGGCAGTGTGTGGCAGGGTCAGGGCCGTTCATGGAGCCATTGAATGGGCAATGTATGAAGTTGTGAAGATGAAGCCGAAGTTGTAATGGGGACACCCGGACGTTGGAGGGATGAGGAGAGGATGGAAGGCTGGACAGAGAACAGTGTGGTAAATTGACAGTTACGGCGCTAGTGGAAACGAGGACAGTGAGTGGTGGGGGAGATGGAGGGGCAGAGTGCAGGAAGGGCATCCAAGGGGCCGGAGACACCTGAGAGGCAGAGACCCTCCCTACACCCAATAAGGACACCTGCCACAAGAGGCCTGTTCTCAGTGTTCAGTAACACCAGGGGCCCAAAGCCCTCAATAAAACACCTTGGGAGCTGGTAGTGTAGCTTAGTTGGTAGAAGGTGTGGCTACCTCACATGAGGCCCTGGGTTCAGTCCTCCAGCACTGCATGAACCAGGCATGTTGGTGCACGTGTGTAATCGCAGGACTCAGGATCAGAAGTTCAAGGCCATCCTTAGCTACATAGTGAGTTCAAGGCCAGCCTGGGCTATGTGAGTCCTTGAACTCTCTTGTCCCTTCCTCCCTTCACTGCATGAATCATAGAATCTGAATTCCAGTGTCTCCCCCTCTTCTGGCCCCCATGCTGCCCAGAGACCTTAGGCCTCAATTTCTCCTAAAGATGCTGGACCTGGAGCAAAAAGAAGGCAGTGGGGTGAGGTGTGAGCCCTGGGTGGTGGGTGGAGGTCCAGCACCCCTCTCAGAGCCCAGATCCCTCTTCTTCCGGCCCTGGCAACCCTCCCTAGACTCCATTTAAAGGCCCTCCACACTAATCGCTGCAGTTGACTCTGCGCCCGGCCCCGCCTTGCTAAAGAGGCTTTTGTCCCCTTAATTGGCTATCTCCAGGCGCCTTTCTCTGCCCCCACGCACCCCTGCATCCGTTCTATATCTCAGGTCCAACTATGTGTTAATTGGGCATCTCGGGGATGCTCGGAGAGCCCCCTCCCTTCCCCACCCCTTGCCTTCCTCTAACAGCCCCTCACCTGCAAGCCTCAGGGTCCAGTCCAGCCTCTGCCCAGTGAGGCAGCACAGGGTTAGGGCACACCCTAATTCCCAGGGTGGCACTCCCATCCCGCAGGGCCAGCCCTCCAGGCCACCTCCCCTGCTCCCTTGCAGGTTTGAGGGGGTGTTTTCTGATCTGTACTGTGACTCCAGAGCAACCACCCATGCACCCTGGGGCCCCCGCAACCCCCGGGGCCTCTGAACCTGGGCCCCGAGAGCTGTGTGCCTTTGTGAGCGGGGCGTCTGCTCACGTGCTGCGAGCCCTGCAGCCCAGGCGCACCCGGCCCCCCAAGCGGAGGCCCAACCACCGGAGATTCCTGCACAACCAGATCTGCAGGTGAGGAGTGGGGCTAGGGGAGAAGGAAGGCATGGGGTGGGCGGCGGGAGGCTCCAAGGCTGGATTCCAGCACCATGCAGCATGCATTTGTCGGGTGCCTACTGTGTGATAGACCCCGCAAGACCATCACTGAGCAAAACCAATGAAGGAAATCCTAAACGTCACAGAGCCTGGGTCCCTGTGGGGTGGCAGAAGGGAAGGAACGGCCTGAATAAATAAATGAGTCAGGCATGATGGAACACGACTGTCATGCCAGCGCTCCAAAGGCTGAGGCAGGAGGATTACTGCGAGTCTGACACCAGCCTGGGCTATGCAGCATCCTGTCTCAAAAAATTCAAAATAAATAAATGAGAGGGAATGGCGCCACCGTGCGGACACACTTTGAAAAGAGGGTTCAAGGGGGAAAGGTCAGGCAGAATGCCATAAAGCTGAGGGAAGGCAGGCATCTGGCAAAAGGGTCCTTGTTGTAAGTAGGAAGTCTCCTTTGGTGAGGATGAAAAGTTCTGGAGAAAATTAGAGGTGTTGACCCTGAATATGAGTCGGATGTGATGGTGCATCCTGCAATCCCAGCACTCAGGAGGCAGAGGCAGGGTGGTTGGTGCAAGTTGAGGGCCAGCCTAGTCTACGTTTTAAAAAAAGAGAGAGAGAATGACAGTTTGAAACGATGATGTCGTTTTCAGTCAGCTCCTGAGGCACTCACTTATCAAGGTTTTTTTCCCCTTTCCAATTTGCCTCAAATGCTGACTGAACACCATCCTCTTCATCTCCTTTGAGAACATTTTTGTTATTCTATTTTTTGGTTTTGTTTTTGAGACAAGGTTTCACTATGGATCCCAGGCTGGCCTGAACTCATTATGTAGATGGGGCTAGTGTCAAACTAATAGTCATCCACCTGTCTGTGCCTCCTGGGTGCTGAGCTTAAGATATGTGCCATCACTCCCAGCCTGCAAAACTTGTTTTTGGTTGTTTTATTTTTATTTTTTTTCATTTTTTGTGTATGAATGCTGTGCCTGCATGTATATAAGTGCACAACTTACATGCTTGGTGCCTGTAGAGATCAGAAGAGGGCATTGGATCCCCTGGAACTGGAGTTACAGATGCCTGTGAGCAGCCATGTGGGTCCTGGGAACTATACCCACACCCTCTACAAGAGCAGCCAGTGCTCTTAACCACCAGGCCATTTTTCCAGCCACTTGCAAAACTTATTGCACCACTGTATATACATTAACAGGACTTGGGCCGACTGTGTTGTTGATGTTGCTAGCTGATCCTTTAATGCTGATGCTTTCGAACTTAAATAAGAAAAATCACTCAAATTGGCTTGATGTCTAACAGCATTTCCATAGTTTAAAAAAAAACAAAACAAATAAATAGGCCGGGCATGGTGCCTTTAATCCCAGAACTTGGGAGGCAGAGGCAGGTAGATCTTTGTGAGTTCGAGGCCAGCCTGGTCTACATAGTGAGTTCCAGGACAGCTGGGGCTACAAGGAGACTCTGTCTCAAAAGGACAAAAGAACAAAAACAAAACAAAAAAAACCCAAATAAACAGTAAATAATAATAAGTCATTAGCAAGAAGGAAAAACATGACAAAATGATGTTTAACAAACCCACATTTATTAATGATATATTCCAATATCAAATGGGAAATTTCAACAATGCAAAAACTGCAACTATTTTTCACCAACCTCATAGAATGCTTGCCTAGCATGCATGAAACCCTGGGTTCCATCCCCATCACTCCATAAACCCAGTAATGGTGGGTGCAGCCTGTAATCCTAGCACTCAGGAGGTGGAGGCAGGAGGATCAGAGTTGTTTTTTGTTTTTTAAAGATTGTGAATATACTAAATGCTACTGAATTAACTGTGTATATATGGAAAGTGTTGGCACAAGGTCTCACTCTTTAGCCCAGACTCACCTTGAACTCATGGCAATCCTGCTGCCTCAGCCTCCCGGGTGCTGGGATCACAGGGGTGCACCACCTCACCTGGGCTCTCCCGCTTTCTTGTCATGTTTGCTTAACTAGCATTCATGAAGGCTTTTAGCTTTATCCCAAGCATTGCATAAACTGGGCACTTTAGTGCAGGTCTGAAATCCTGTACCAGGAAGGTGGAGGGAGAAGGATCAGAAGTTCAAGGTCAGGTGCATTGTGAGTTTCAGGCAAGCCTGGGCTGCATGAAACTGTACCTCAACAACACACAAAAAAACGTGCTATTCTCAGTCACATATGAGCAGGCCAGTTGTCAAGGGGGTTATTGGCCATCAACCGTGATATTTGTGTCAGAGGCTATCACCATAGTGATTCTAAAGGGGGTCCCCACTGTCTACCTCAGGAAGGGTGTTATAAGCCTCGGATCATGCTGATTGTCTCAGAGGAAGCTAAGTTTCCAAGGGTGCTGGCGGCCTCTGGCTGCAGCCCCTTCCACATCCTCCCTTCACAGCCCCTACCCACAGGTTCCTCACACACCCAGCTCTTCAAGGCAGTCTCCCTGCCCTAGGACTCTAGGAATGCCCACCCTATGCCAGACTCTGCCCCTGCTCCCCAGGGCCCCAGGCCACCCACCACCTAGGCCTTAAGGCAGCTCTCATAGCCCAGAGCACTTTCTCCTGGGCTCTGGCTCAGCCTGGGAAAATTCAGGACAGGGATGATTATCCTCAGCATCTTCCCACCCACCACTTCCTCCTCATCTTCCCAGGTCCCCTCAGGCCCTGCTCCCCTGGGGATCCCTTTCCACCTCTGCTATTTATATTTTTGACATTTCATTGTGAAACATTTCAAACCCGCAGAAAAGTCAAGGCTGTTGTCTCAAAAGTGGGTCCCCATTGTTATAGGACGGAGTTCGCAAAAAATCACCAATACCACTTTAAGAAAAGTAGCAAGGTAAATTTTATTTTTTGACCGGCCGGTCTGTCTATCTCGGGAGTAGAAGCAGCCCTGATGGTTGTCAGGTCAGAGTTTTTATAGGGTTTACAGACATATTATTTAAACAGGACACTTGTGAACCAATCAGGTTTATACAACATAGCAGAACTTTGAATCTATTAATCAACAACTAATCACTATACAGACAAGTGATACAGTCATATAACTTGGCAATCAACTTTGTAATTTTAAAATTAGTCAACTCCCTAGCCATAACAAGTATAGTAAGAAATCTAAAATCAGCAGTTACTGGGTGGTCATACAATAACAGGGTGGTCTTATACTTTGTGTCAGGGTGACCTAAAATAGCAAGGGGGTTACAGAAGCAAAAATAAGCAGTTAGCCAGATGTAGAATGTCTGAGATTAGCACGTTCCATGGTTCATGGCTAGGACAATTTCCCAAGATCCAAGGTTGCCCCCCTTTTCCTTTTGGTGTGGAGCAAAGTTGCGGCTGAAATGGCTCTGAACAAAATGGAGTAACTTAGGTAAGTTTGCTGAGCCAGTTCACCCATCAGTATGGATCAGGGAAGGTCCCATAAAGCTCCACCCCTTCCAAAGGAGCTATAGACCGTTAAAAGTTACAGGGGGAGGGGAGTCATATTCCCGAGGAGTGTAGCTACTGGTCCATTGCTCTCACTCAAGAAAATAACCACCTCCATCCATGTTCATGAAGACAACCATAATTAAACACAGTAGGTCGTAAAATTTTAAAAGATATGAAGGTAGGTAGAAAGGAGACCTGGGAAGAAGAGGTTTGTTGGGATGGGGAAGGGGATAAGAGGATACTGGGGGACTTTATTAATTTTTAAAGATTTTATTTTTATTCATGTATATGACTTTTTCTCTTATTTTTATTATTTTTTATTGAATTTTTGAATTTTTCATACAATATAGTTCAATAATACTTAAATCCCCTCCTCTCTCCATACCTCCCTCCACTGCCTCCCACCCAATTTAATGTAGTCTTTTATGTATATAATACAGCCTATAGAGTCTGACTTGTATCCAAAAGTGTCCTTCAGTGTTGGTCCATCCACTGGGCCCACCAAGAGTCCCATCCCTGTAAGATACTGTCTTTCCCCCTCCCAGCCAGGTGCAGTGACACATGCCTAATCCCAGTACTGGAGAGGCAGAGACAGGGAGATCTCTGTGAGATCGAGGCCAGCCTCTTTACGTAGCACCAGCTGGGGCTGTAGGGAGACCCTGTCTCAAAAATCCCAGAAATAATAATAATAATAATAAAAGAAGAAGAAGAGGAGGAGGAAGAAGAGGAGGAGGAGGAGGAGGAAGAAGAAGAAGAAGAAGTCAAAATAAGAATTTGTTGGTGGTACCTTCACATGTAATCTCGATACCCTGGGAGAGTGAGGCAGGAGGATTGCTATGTGTTTGAGACCAGTCTGGTCTAAGTATCAAGTATCAGGCCAGGCAGGGCTAAAGAAAAGACCTTGTCTCTAAACACCAACACACACACACACACACACACACACACACACACACACACACACACACGACAAAAACTGAGTAAAAAAGAAAGAAAAGAAAGAAGAAAGCCAGGTGTGGTGATGCTCACTTGAAATCCCAGTGCTCGTGAGGTTAAAACAAGAGGAACACAAGTTCAATTACATGGCAAGACCTTTCTGAAAAGGGGGCTGGCAAGATGGCTCAGCACATAAAAGTGCCTGCTGCACAAACCTGAACCAGAGTTTGATCCCCAGAACCCACATAAAGGTGGAAGGGGACTCCACAGACTGACCTCTGACCTCTACACATGGCTGTTGAATATGTATCACACACACACACACACACACATAAATAAATAAATAAATAAATCGTTTTTAAAAAATAAAGGAGCGGGCAGGGTGGCGCATGCCTTTGATCCCAGTACTTGGGAGGCGGAGGCAGACAGATCTTTGTGAGTTTGAGGCTAGCCTGGTCTACATAGCAAGGTCCAGGCCAGCTGGGCCTACAGGAAAAACAAAAACAAACAAACAAACAAAAAAAAGTTAAAAAAAAAAGAATTTGTAGAACACAATTCAGCCCCAGCAGTTAGTGAAATCCATCCATGTGGCTACTGAGGGGTGGAAGTGACAGGGAAGACCTATGTGATGGCTTCTGACAATTGATGCTAAGAAGTGGGCAGAATCAGTGGACTGCACAGGGCATCGACATCGATCAACCACTGGCCCACAGCTCCCTTTGTGTGATTATTGGAAAGGCACTCTCCTTGAGACATGCTTCACTTGTCTCTATTTGAATAGGGTTTTAATACATCTACACTGTCAAAACAAGCTAGAGCTGGGCTAAAGGATCTGCCTGTTCAGTGCACCATCCCTGTAGCAATTCACAACTTCCCTATGAAGAAATAGAGACTTGGGGCTGAGGAGATATCTCAGTGGTTAAGAACACTGGATGCTCTTGCAGAGGACCTGGATTCAGTTCCCAGCACCCACATGGCAGCTGTTAGTAACTCCGGTTCAAAGGAATCTGACACCATCTTCTGGCTTCCATGGGCTTTGCACTCGTGAGGTACATATACATACATGTAGGGAAAACACTCATACACATAAAATAAAGACCAATAGCTGGGTGTGGTGGCATCTACCTTTAGTCCCAGCACTCAGGAGGTAGAGTCAGGCAGATCTCTGTGAGTTCAAGGCCAGCCTGGTCTACATAGTGAGTTCCAGGCCAGCTGGGGATACAGGGAGACCCTGTCTCAAAAAAACCAAATAAATAAATAAAGATCAACAAATGAAAAGAATTTTAAAAGGAAAGAGACTTATCAGACTCAAGAAAATGAAGTCAGGGTCAGAGAAATAAGCAGGAAAAAAAGAAAAAGAAAGTAGGCTGGGAAGAAGGGACACGTTCTGAGTGGGATGGGGACCGTCAGAAGAGGAAAGATAAAAATTCTCTCTCTCTCTCTCTCTCTCCCTCTCTCCCCCCCCCCATCTCCAGGCAGTTTGCCAAGATCGAAGCTGCCACTCAGCACCTGGCTCTGTCCATCCTGTCCCAGAAAGCACCTCCCCAGAGACCACCACCTCAAAGGCCACCCCCACCCCCATCCCCCTTCTTGGGTGTGGCCTGCGCTGAGGCCCCCATGGAGGTGCCCCACCACAGCCCCAGCCTGAGCCTAGCTGCCCTGGACACTTCGACCCTTGACCTCTTTGATGACATCATGCTCACTCCAGTGTGTCCCTCGGTGACCCCTGACCTCTTTTCTCAGACTCTGACTGCTGACATTCCCCAGGGGACATGTGCCCTTGCCTCTCAGGCTCTGGGCCTGGGGGACCAGAGGCAGCCAGACCTGATGCAGGCTCTAAGATCCTCTCCCCAGCATGCCCATACAGGAGGCTCTGAGCCCGCAGCTCTTGGTTGGGATTGGGTGGACAATTGGGAGGCACCTTGTGCCTGGGATCCTCAGGGGATTCTGAAAGGCTGGGGTATCCCTTGAAACCCATTCACAACACAGGCCAGGCCCCATTCAGGCTGAACCAGAGTCTCCCCAGGAACCCCTATACCATCCACTCCCTTCCGGGGAGAGATGGGGCTATGACTCAGTTGATAGAGTGTTTACCTCCTATGCATGAAGCCCTGAGCTCCATCCCCAGCATCACATAAACCAGTAAAATAAACCCTGGGAAAATGAAGCCAGACTAGTACCTTGGACCACGGCCATGGAGCCTTCACTGAACTCAGGGCCCACCTCTGCCCCATCTGGGGACCCCTAGCACTCACCCTCTGCTTTCTTCCTTCTGGGCATCATGTTAGTCCATGTGTTCTCCGCCGCCCCACCCCCCAACATTCTCTGGCTCATGCCTGCTGTCTCAGCCAGTCACTGAGCACTTGCTGTGGGCCAGGCCCAGGGCTGGGTGTTAGGGCTCTGAAGCAGACAAGATAGACAAGATTCTCACCTCATGGAGCTTGCATAGGTGTGTGTCTGTGTGTCTGTGTGTGTGTGTCTGTGTGTCTGTGTCTGTCTGTATGTATGTGTGTGTGTTACACACATGTTTGCAGGGAGGAGACTGCCAATACATGAGCACCTGGAGAGAGCTTCAAAAAGCAAAATGAACTTCCAGTTTCTCATGGGAATGAATTCTATGGTGAAAATAAAATGTCCAACTGATTGAATGGCCCTAGAGCTGGAATTACAGGCAGTTGTGAGCCACCCAGTGTGGGTGCTGGAAACCAAACTCTGGTCTTCTACAAGAGCAGTATTCACGCTTAACTGCTGAGCCATCTCTCCAGTCTATTTATTTAATCGTTTACTTATTTATTTATTTTTACATTTATTTATCTCTGTGTGCAGGCATGCCAGGAGGTCACAGGACAATTTTCATGAATTGGTTCTCTCTGCTTCCTTAATGTGGGTGCCAACAATCATACTCCGGTTGTCAGATGTGGTGACAAGTGTCTCTACCCTCTGAGCCATCTCACTGATCCCCAACTCCCCCATTTTATGTAGTGCTGGAGATGGCACCCAGGGCTTCAGGCATGCCGGGAAAGCACTCTACAAACTGAGATACACCCCCAGCCCTGTTTTTGTCTTTGTGAAACAGGGTTTCACTCCGCAGCCCAGGCTGACATGGAACTCACTTGGTAGCCTAGGCTGGCTTCAAACTCTTCTTACCAGACCTTGGCACCTCAGTCTCCAGAGTACACAAGCCACTATACCCTGTTTTTTTAAAGGGTCTTGGGTAGCCCCAGACTTGAACCATATACCATGTTTAGATATTTGGATTTTGTCCCAGGAAAAATAGAAAACTCTGTTTCTACTGCCATTTCCAAGCACAGAAACAAATTATTACAAAGACCACCTGAGGAGACAGGTGGTTAACAGATGGGGAAATTCCTCGCTCTTTTAACTCTTTCCTGAAATACTCTTGGGTGTCTTTATACACACACTTATTGTTGTTAGTGAGGGTAATGGGTTTGAAGTCGGGGGCAGGCTCTCACTACGTAGGCTGGTCTTGAACTGGGAATTCTCCTGCCTCAGCCTCCTGAATGCTGGGATTACATCTGAGATCATGCCCAGCATATAAAGCAGGTGCTGGCTTGTGGATGTTTCATGAGTGGGGTGTCAATATCTCAGCTGATGCTGGGAAGTCTGGCTCAAAATTACAGGCTAAATGGCTCGGCTCAAGTCTGAGGACTGGAACTTGATCTCCTGGTCCCACACAGTAGGAGAGAACCAACTCTCACAAGTCATTCTCTGACCTCTACACATACACTGTGGTACATGCCACCGCCCCTCCCCATGAATAAATGTAATGAAAAAAAAAGTTAAAGATCTATTTTTATGTATATGAGTGTTTTGTCTGCATGTATGTAATGGCACCATGTATCTACAATGCCTGCAGAGGCCAGAAGACGGTATTATATATCCTGGAACTGGAGTTATGGATAGTTATTGGCCACCATGTAGGTGCTGGAAACCAAACGAAGGTCCTCTAGAAGAGCAGCCAGTGTTCTTAACCACTGAGCCATCTCTCCAGCCCCTCATAATTTTCAAAAGAGGTTCGCTTTGGCTGAATAGTAGGGAGGGCCCTTCTTCCCTTGTTCCCTTCTGTTAGATGGCCCAGGCTGGGGCTGGCTTCATGGAGTGTTTGTTGAGGTCCTGCACTCCTCCATGTGCTGCCAGGAATTCATCAGACTACCTTTCACTGTCCAGAGCCCTTGCAGTTGGGTGGAGGGAACATTTATATGCAGAGCTGGAGGATGCAGCAGCCATCAAGAAAAGCAGTCTGTCCCAGGAGCATCTGGAGGGAGGAGTCCACAAACAAACAAGAAAATACCAGCTTGGGAGGTGCCATGAGGGCCCCAAGATTAGACATACTGCATGGAGGTGATGGTGGGGTACCACTTCGATGAGGACGCCTTCTCTAGGGGTGTGCCGTGTCCCTGCTCATGTCACACAGAGCTGCAGTCTCATCTGAGCTCTGGGTGCTCTTCCAAGCTCGCAAGGAAGTCAATGCTTTGTTTCTGGGAATCCCTGGAGATGCTGGTCTTCGGAGGCAACAGGACCTCTGACCTGCAGACCCCATCCTAAGGGGCTTCGGGGCATCCTTCCTGTATTGGGGTTCTCCACAGAAACCAAAACTGGGTCAGTAGCATCAACTATTTATTCTTTAATCAATTGATCAACTGTTCTATGAAGATATCACCAGGTAAATATGGACAGATGCATGAACGTAGCTTTCTCTCTCCAGAAAGAAATTTATGATGAGAAATTGGTTCATAAAGTTGAAGAATCTGAGAAGTTTGATGTTCTAGAGAGCCAGTAAATCTAGTGGTATTCAGAACAACTCTTTTTTTAAAAAATATTTTATTATTTTTATTTTATGTGTTATGCTCACAAGTAGGTAAGTGCAACCATGTTATGCAATGCCCGTGGAGGACAGAAGAGGCCATTGGATTCTCTGGAACTGGCATTACAGACAGTTGTTAGCTGCCATGTGGGTGCTGGGATTCAAACTCGGGTCTTCTGCAAGAACAACCAGTGTTTTTAACCGCTGAGCCATCTCTCCAGCCCCCAGAACCACTCTTAATCTGACATCTGCCTTTCTAGCTTTTGTTGCAAGAGTCAACCTTGGTCTGCAGTATCACATGGAAAATTCCAGAAATCGTTCATTCATTTCAAGTCCCATGGGGCTCTAAGCAGCATGGTGAAATCTCCCATCACCAACTCCACCCTGCTAGAAGACAAATCATCCTTTTTAAATTTTTATTTTGATTTATGTGTATGAGCATTTTGCCTGTATGTATTTAAGTGCACTTGCACCATGCAATGCCCAGGGAGGCCAGAGGTGGCCCTTGGATTGTCTGCAAGTGGAGTTACATGGGGTTGTGAGCCACCATATGAGTGCTGGGACCCAAACTGGGGTCCTCTGTAATAGCAGTCAGTGCTCTTAACTGCTGAGCCATCTCTCCAGTCCCACAAATCATCCCTTGTCTAGCATATCCACACTGTGTATGCTACTCAGTTAATCACTAGTAACCACCTCAGTTACCAGATTGACTGTCCCAGTACCATAGTGCTGGGGTTCCAGTAGCCCTTATTTTACCTCCTCAGAATGGTGCCAAGGTGTAAAAATGCAAATCCATTTGAATGTCTTTTCTCTGAAGAGACTGTGCATCTGTCTTTTCAAAGACCTCTCCAATGTCCGGGTGTCCCCATTACAACTTGGGCTTCATCTTCACAACTTCATACATTGCCCATTCAATGGCTCCATGAATGGCTCTGACCCTGCCACACACTGCCTGGTCTTCCAGGCTTTTCTCCGGCACCTTGGTTGGTGCAAGGCCCCATGATCCCACAGGAGCTGAATGAGTACCCCGCTGGAAAGGAGCTGTTGAGGGAAATGTTCCCCCACGTTTGGCCATGCAAACACTCAGAGGCCACTTCAGCTGTGGTAAAAGTGGGCCCAGCTACATCTCAGAGTGGCAAGCCAGCAGGGCCAGGTGTGTGGACACCAACGGAGGGGGGAGCAGTGGGCCAACTCCTATTCCTGGTAGGCATTCACTGGCTCTCATGCAGATGGGGCACATCCCCCACCCCATATGCAGGAGGTCCCCTTTCTTCCAAGCCTGCAGATCCAAGTAGCCCCTATAATACCCCCCAACGCAATAACGGTTCAGTACACAGTCACACCAATGTTTATTCTAAGTCCAGGCCCCAGTTTATGACATTTCTCCCCCTTCCCCTTCTAACTCCGTGAAGTACCCCCCCCTCGATCAGCCAATTCCCACCCAGCACCCAGGAGTCTCATCTGCATTTCTGGGGCCAGCTGTCCAATGAGAAGGCAGAACTACCCTCCCCACCCATGGGGGCGGTACTCCTGGTGGACTGCACCAGAGTGGGATCCAGGGTAACGAGGGTGGTGGGTCCCCCCTCAAGTCAGGGTCTGGAGTTCATGAAGAGGGGGTTCTGGCCTTGGAAGAGGCCCAGCAGCCCGCTGTCTGGAACCGGCTCCTTAATGATCTTCTGGATCTGTAGGCAAAGGGTGGGGGGCGGCTGGGTCAGGAAGTCAGGAATCCTTCATCCCTTGGATTCTCCTGGCAGCATGTCTCTCCACCACCCACTCTGTTTAAAAAGCTTTCCCAAGATGGGACTGGAGAGATGGCTCAGCAGTTAAGAACACTGCCTGTTCTTGCAGAAGACTGGGGTTTGAATCCCAGCACCCACATGGCAGCTAACAACTGTCTGTAACTCCAGTTCCAGGGGATCCAACAGCCTCTTCTGTCTTTCGCAGGCATTGAACGACATGGGTACACTTATCTACACACAGGCAATACATGCATACACATAAAATAAAAATAATAAATGAAACATTTTTTTAAAAAGTTTTCCCAAGATGGGGCTGGAGAGATGGCTCAGTGGTTAAAGTGCTTGCTGTCTGTGTAAAGACTGGATACCCAGAACCTTCATAAATGCTGGGCGGACGAAGGAACTGACTGTAATCAATTCCAGCCTCCAATGGCAGAGACAGGGCAAGGTGGCCATCAACACTAGCCATATGAGCTCCAGGTTTGAATGAGAGACCCTGCCTCAACAAACAAGGTGGAGCAGTGATCAAGGACAATTCTCCACATCAACCCTCAGCCTCCATATGCACATGGCCACAAGTGCATGTGCACCCTGAATGTGTGCCCATACACATGCATACACACACATGCCCATCATATACTCATGAGAATGGAAAAAGAACATAAAAGGTTTTCCTGGGACCTCGATCACACCACACCTGCCTGGTTGAGCGTCTAACTGCCTGCCATCTTGGTCTTTGTGGCCTTGGACCACTAAGGGCGGATGGCTCTGTCTTGGAGTCTCTTGCCTACACCTTCCTCGTTCTTCATTAATCTCATCTTTCCCATCATTCCTTTAGGCCTTCAGCACCCCATACAAGCCCAAACTGTGCTTATGAACTCTCCATTTACACAACTCCCTCTTGGTTAAATGGGAGTAACCAACTACATTCCCATCATTAGAAAGGTTGGCCAAGCTTATCTCCAGAAAATTAATCAAAAAACCCAAAGCCTGCATCTCCACTGCCTCTGCCTGCCACTACTGACTCTGCAGGATGCCTGAAGCAGCTGCTGGGTGCTCTCTCCTCTCTGTTCTATGCTACCTAACACTGGCCAGACTGTTATAAACTGTCGATCTATAAAGGCCAGCTCCCCTGTGCATTCTAGATATACAGGGATGATTGATTCGGTGGATGGACTTTTAGAAATGGGGATAGAGCCCTGGGCCATGTCCATGTGAGGTCATTGCTCCTCCATGGAGCGACATCCCCAGTCCCCCACAAAGCTTATCTCCAACACTCTGATGGGAACATCAGGAGAGCTGGGCTTGCCACTGACCCTGGGGTACCACAGTAGCTGGCCCATTGCTAAAACTCCAAATCTTTTCTAAGACATGATTCAGGCTCCTGCCTATTCCTCCTGTTCCACGTGCTCAGCACTGACCACACACCCAACTACACAGTGCTTAGAACAAGGTGAGCTTAGCCCCAGCTCTTGGCCTTTGCTCCTGCTGTCCCCTCTACTAAGGGCTTTGTACCTGAGACTCCTCTTCCTTCTCCAGGGTCATAGGTTCAAGGCTACAGGCTATCACTCTTTCACGCTTCTCTTCAGCTTGAGGACATAATGTGCTATTGAACATAATCTGGCTTTTTTTTTTTTTTTTTTTTTGAGACAGGGCCTTAGGTAGCCCAGGTGGCCTTGAACTTATCCTCCTCCTGCCTCCACCTCATGAGTGCTAAGATCATAGGCATAAACCACCATGCCTAGTTTCTGTAGTGCTGAGGATGGAAGCCAGGGCTTCCAGCATGCTAGGCAAGCACCCTGCTAATGGAGCTATATCCCCAGGCCTGGACTGACTTTGGGTGCACATGGAGGCCAGAAGTCAACATCAGGTGTCTTTGCCTCAACTGCTTTCTACCTTACTTTTTGAGACAGCATTTCTCACCAAACCTGGAACTCCGAGATTCAGGCAGACTAGCTGGCCAGAAGCCCTGGGGATCTTCCTGTTTCCTCACTGAAGGCCGCATCTCTTTCACACAGGTTCTGAGTATTCAAAACCAGCCTCATACAGCAAGCCATCTCTTCAAACCTGGTGGACCGCTTTTTACCACCACACTGTGATGCAAACCCCAGGAGGGTTGACCCTCCCCCTGCCTGGGTGCACCTCAGTGGCTGGCATGGACTAGATCCCAATAAATGTTCAACAAAACAGGATGAGGGGCAGGGCAGAGGACCTGAGATGTCTGACTCTGGAATTTCCCCGCATCTCGAGGGTGAAGGCTTTGAGTGGGAGGGCCTAGGACCTGGTCAGACAATGGTACCAGGAAGGCCACTCCGGAAATGGGCACAAGGGCTGAGGGACTGCAGGAGGAGCACCAGGACCCGAGTAGGCAGATACTTGTTGGACAGAGTTGGATGTAGGGGGCGCCAAGGCCTTCAGGTTTGCCATGCTTCCTGGGCCCTCTTCTTTGTTACATCACTCTTAAGCCACCTTTTCCAGGAAGCCACCAGCACTACCCTAGGGAACCCCCTCCCCTGCACCCCAACACCCCAGGTGGTCCCCTGTGTTATTATTTCACTACAGTCCTGTACCATCTGACATCTCTTGTTCATTCACTGTGGTGGGGAGTGATCCCCCATGAGAACTCAGCCTCCCCCACCCCTGATTTCTTTTAGCCTGCCCAGGGATATATTCTAGAATCCCAAAGAAATATCTCTCAGTCGGGGTTCATGGCTCATATCTTTAATCCCAGCACTCAGGAAGCAGGAGGGCTGCCCTGAGTTTGAGGCCAGCCCAGGCTACAGAATTAAACCCTGCCTTTAAAAAAGGTGGGGGGGGGGGCGGTAGGGAGACATGGTGGCACACACCCTTAGTCCCAGCACTCAGGAGGCAGAGGCAGGCAGATCTCTGTGAGATGGAGGCTAACCTGGTCTATATAGGGAGTTCCAGGACAGCTGGGGCTATAGGGAGACCCTGTCTCAAAATAAGACGGGGGTGGGGAGCGGGAGTGCAGCAGGGTGGCTCAGTGGGTGAAGACATTTACCACCCAATCTGAGAGCCAGACTTTGATCCTGGGGACCCATATGGTTGAAGGAGAGAATTGACTCCCACAAACTGTCCAGTATGTGGACAGATAGGCACACAGATATACAGAAAGGTACATAGACAGATACATAGATAGAATGCAAAAACATACTGAACTTTGAACACTTCACAGGGATTTTTTTTTTAAAGCAGCTGGGTATGGTAATGGTACTTGCCCACCATCCCAGCACTTTGGAGGTGGATCAGGAGTTCAAGGCAGGCTCAGCAACAGAGCAAGTTCAGAGCCAGCTTTAGTTACATGGGACCCCGTCTCAAAAAAAAAAAAAAAAAAAAAAAAAAAAAAAAAAAAAACGCTGAAGGTTTGGCATAGTGGCACAGCCCTATAAACCCAGTAGAAGCAGGAGGACCAGAAGTTTAAAGTCATCCTCTACTACACAGTGTGTCCAAGGCCAGCCTGGGATACATGAGACCTTACTTCATAATGAGAGAGACAGACAATTTTGTCAATGCACAGGAGACCTAAAGGCCCAGTACCTCTTTGAACTGGGGGTGAGCAGCATCCCTCACAAGCTGCAGAATGAGTGATTCACTGGTGGACAAGAAGGCACCACTCTGTCTCATGCGGGCCAGCGCCACCAGTCGGTCCACCTGGCTGCAGGAGAGAGGAAGGAAAGACAGGTGTCCCTGCTGTGGCAACACACAGCAGGTACCCCTGGCTGCCACCCCCAAGGAGACCCTCTAACCTGCGAGAAGAGCAGGCATCCACTACCACGTGGACCTGCAGCCCCCGGTCCAGGAGGTCCAGGGCCGTGTTCTAAGGGTAGAGAGAGGTCAGAGCCAAACCCAGGGCAGAACGGGGCCCACAGTAAGGGACTGGGGATTCTCAGTCACAACTGGGTACTGGGAAGATGGATAAACGAGGTTCAAGACGAAGCCAGGCCCATAGGGTGGGACAAAGGACAGAAGGAAGGGCCAGTAGGTGAGGAGGGAATACAGGGGACAGGCAGGGTCTCACCATGATACAGACTTGGGTTTCGATGCCGCAGAGCAGCACCGACCGCAGCTGGGGCCGGCTGTCCAGCTCCTGCTGCAAGGAGGGCACCATGCTGAAGCAGGTTTTGCTCACTGGACGCAGGCCCTGAGCCCCCAGCTCGGGAACTGTGGGGCCCAGGCCTTGTGGGTACTGCTCTGTCAGCACAGCGGGGACACCCAGCAGACGGGCCACCTGAGGGAGGGGAAACAAAGGGCTAGGAGGACAGCTGAGGTCTGGACCTCTGGGACTGAGGGAGGAGGCTGGGACCTGGACTCCTGGGTTTGAGGGAGGAGGGCTGGATCTGGACCCCTAGGTCTTGGAAAGGAGAAGGTAGTTCATACCTTAAGCATTCGAGCGGCCACAGACACAATCTGTGGGAAGAAGGCTACGCTGGGGCGAAATTTCTCCTGAAGGTCGCACAGAAACAGGATAGAGGACTCTGGGAGGATCCGGCCCAGGCTAGCCCTGGCTGCTGCCATTTCCTGGGGTGGGCAGAGGGATAGTGCACAAGGTCAGATAGGGACAAGGGTTCAGGATCTCATGCAGGGTTTATGCACTTGGCTCTGTGGTCCCTGCACCCGCATTCCTGTTCCCGCCTCCAGGCCTTTTCAATTGCTGTCCTTGGCCTGCCGTTCACTCCTTCCTCCTCCCTCCCTGTTCATTTGTGAGCCTACTTCCCCCCAGAAAAAAAAGAAAAAGTCAAGCGGGTGACATGTCCTTGTAATCCCAGCAAGGGGGAGGCAGAGGCAAGGGGGTCACTGAGCCTTCAAGGCCAACCTGGGCCATAGTGAGTTCTAGGTCAGTCTGGGATAAAGAGCAAGACCTTGTCATAAAAAGCCAAAAGAGAGCTGAGTGTGCTCCCCAGAACCCACATTAAAGAAAGCCAAGCATGATAGCACATGGTTGTGATCCAGGTGCCTGGCAGGTGAAGGCAAGTGGACCCTGGGAGCATACTGGTCAGCCAGCATGGGCAAAATGAGTTTATGGTTCAGTGTGAGAATCTATCTCAAGGTAATATGGTGGCAAGCAATGGAGGAAGATACCAGATATCCTGCTTGTGACTCCACATGCGTGTACACAGATATGTGCAACACACACACACATACACACACACACACACACACACACACACACACACACACACACAGGCCAGGGGCTGGAGAGATGACTCAGCAGTTAAGAGGACTGGGTGCTCTTGCAAAGAACCCGGGTTCAATTCTCAGCACCCACATGGAGGCTAATAATCTGTAGTAACTCCAGTTCCAGGAGATCTGACACCCTCTCCTGGCTCTACAGGCATTGCATTCATGTAGTACACTTACATACATGCAGGCAAAACACTCAATATATATAAAAAATTTTAAACTAGCCATGCGTGGTGGTGCATGCCTCTAATCCCAGCACTCAGGAGGCAGAGACAGGCAGATCTCTGTAAATTCAAAGTCTACTGTGAATTCCAGGTCAGCTGGGGCTACAGGGAGACCTTGTCTCAAAAGAAGACCCAAGCCTCACACCTTTATTCAAATGTTATGGAACCTTTATCTTTTTAAAGAATTGTTTATTTTATTTTTTGGTCTTTTTGAGACAGGGTCTCCCTATAGCTCCAGCTGTCCTGGAACTCCCTATGTAGACCAGGCTGACCTTGAACTCACAGAGATCTGCCTGCCTCTGCCTCCTGAGTGCTGGGATTAAAGGCGTGCGCCACCATGCCCGGCTTATCTTTTTTTTATTTTGTGAATACAAATGTGTTGCCTGCATGTATATAAGTGCACTACATGTATGCAATGCCCTCGGAGACTGGGAGAGGATGTCAGATGCCCTGGAACTGGAGTTGTTACCTGTCCATATGGGTGCTGGGAGCTGAACCCAGGTCCTCTGCAAGAGCAGCCAGTGTTCTTAACAGCTGCACCATCTCTCCAGTCCCCCCTTTTTTTCTTTTTGGTTTTTTTGAGCCAGGGTCACCCTATAGCCCCAGCTGGTCTGGAACTTGCTAGGTAGACCAGCTGGCCTCAAGCTCAGAGAGATCCCAGCCTCTGCCTCCTGTGTGCTGGGATTAAAGGCAAGCACCACCATATGACACCTTTATTTCAATGGAAAAAAAAAACAAAAAAACAAAAAACCTCAGGCCAGTGAGATGGCTCTTGGTAAAGGCACTTGCCACCTAACAATGTAAGCATGATCCCGGGGTTCCACAAGGTGGAAGGAGAGAACGTCTGCAAGTTGTCCCATGACCTCCACCTGCACACCGTGGCACACAATCGATCAATAAATGCAATTTAAAAAAAAACACAGCCTCTTGAAAAAAAACAACAACTCACTTTAAAACAAAGTCACACCCAACTAGTTAATCACATAATCACAACTATGACACTGGCTGGCATTTCTTGGGAAACCTGATTCAAGTCAGCAGGGTGTGCAGATCTCTCCCTGGGGAAATGGACGCGAACAGGGAAAAATGACCTTTTGTTTTTGTTTCTCTTTGGGGTTTTGTTTTGTTTATTTGAGACAGGGTCTCATGTAGCCCTGGCTGGCCTCAAACTCCCTATGCAGCCAAGAATGATCTTGAACTCATGGTAACTTTACTTGTACCTACCAAGTGCTGGGATCATCGGCCAGGTTTGGGTGGTAGGGGGATTCCATTCCAGGCTTGCTGCCTGCTAGGCAAGTACTCAACCAACAGAGCTACATCCCAAGCTGAGAAAACTGCAGCTATTCCCCTGCCTCCCTTCCCTACCCTGGCCCTGACTGCTTCCCTCTGTCCTGAGGACTGAGCTGCAAGCCCCTGCCCGTAAGGCTCTGGGTCTCCCTCCAGCCAGTCAAGTCCCACCTCAGGGTCTCTGCTCCCCTTCTCCTGGAGGGCCCTTATCACTTCCACTCCCAGGACTTGAGCACAAGGGACATTTCTGACGGGTGGATGAGGAGATGAAAGATGACAAAAGCCCTGGAAGTCTGCGGAGGGCACAACAGGGAGCCCTGGGTTGGGGGCAGAACTGGGGGTTCAGAATGTCACAAAGCCTGGCAGGTGTCAGAAACCTAGCTACCCTTTGGGCTGACAGGATCATACCCACATGCCACAGTCCTCAAAATAATAAAGACATAAACTCTCTGACCCAGAAATCTGCCACTAAGTATTTATCTGGTAGGGGCCAAGTTATTCATTCTAGAACTCGTTGACAGGGCTGTAGAGACAAATGGCCAAACATAAAGGCAGACATTCCCAAACTCGAACAATCAGACTGGGAACATTTGAAACCCGGCTTCCTAGTAACCTATGATAGCTTACACATTTAGAACCTAACTCCTAATGGCACATGGGTGCCTTACCTACGACCCTCCCATCCACTGTAGCTGTGTTACAGTAGATCCGTTCTGTTTTTATTATTTCAGACAGGGTAGAGTCTCTATGGCAATCCTGTTTCAGTGCTGGGATTACAGGCATGAATATCCATGCCCAGTAAACACTTTTAAACACTTCTGATCCTCCTGACTCTACCTCCCAAGTTCTGTAACTACAGGTGTGCACCACCACACTCAGTTTATATGATGCTAGGATCAAACCCAGAGCTAGACAAGTAGTCTATCAACTAAGCCCCACCCCCACTCCCTTCTTTCTTTGTGGGTGGGGTGGAGATACGTTTGGTGCTTTCCTGATTGGCGTTGAATTCTGTACCATAGCCTTGAACTCTTCTGATTTATTTTTATCTTATGTGTATGAGGGTTTTGCCTGCATGTATGTAAGCGCAACCATGTTTCGAAAAGCCAGTGGAGGCCAGAAGAGAGCACTAAATCTGGAACTGGAGTTACAAATAGTTGTGTCCTGCCATGTGGGTGCTGGGAACCAAACCAAGTTCTCTGCAAGTGCACCTAGTGCGCCTAACCACTGAGCCATCTCTCTAACCCAAGTACCTTTGAATTCTTGATCTGCCTGTTGCCACCTCCCAAGCTCTGGTATAACACACAAGAGCCACCAAGCTCAGCTAAGATTTTTGAGACAGAGTTATGATGAGTTGACCGAGCAAGCATTAAACTTAATTTGCAATCCTCCTGCCTCAGCTTCCAGGATGGCTGGGACTGCAAAACTACACCAGGCCTGACTCACACTACAGAATTCTTTACAGCTGGAAATAGGTCCAAGGAAGGTCTTTTTTAAAACATATTTTATTATTTTTATTTTATGTGTATGTGTGTATTGCCTGCATGTAGGTAAATACACCCATGTAGTGCAATGCCTGTGGAGGTCAGAAGAGGCTATTGGATCCCCTGGGACTGGAGTTTTGCACAGTTGTTAGCTGCCATGTGGGTGCTGGGATTCGAACCTGGGTCTTCTGCAAGAACAATCAGTGTTTTTAACCGCTGAGCCATCTCTCCAGCCCCCCAAGGAAGGTCTTTAGGGATAAGGAAAAGTGTTCAAGAGATGTTAAGTGAACAGAGAAAACTCTGGGTATGGAATGTACCCAACTAAAAACTGGAAACTGTAAATAATGATTAGGTCTGTACCTCAATGACCAAACTCTCAGCTGGGAAACCCATCTCTGGGAAGCTCAGTGTGAAGGAAACTTGAACTTGGCTGTGCCCCATTCTGTTACATTGGCGGGGGTTGGGGGGTGGGGGGAGTAGGGTCTTATGTAGCCCTGGCTGACCTGGAACTTGCTACTTAGCTGTGGCTGGCCTTGAACTCCTGATCCTCCTTGCTTCCAGCTCCCAAGTGCTGGAAATGCAGGGATTTCCCACTACTCTCCACTTTAAATTCATATTTATTTATTTATATTTTTATTTTATGTGTATGAGTGTTTTGTTGCATATAAGTGCACTACATGTGTGCAGTGCCCACAGAGACCAGAAGGGGGCATCAGACCCCTGAGAACTGAAGTTAGGACACTTGTTGGCTGCCATGTGGGTGCTGGGAAGTGAACCTGGGTCTTATGCAAGAGGAGCCAATGTTCTTAGTTGACCCCACTCTTAGCACCTGGGTGTTAACTACTGGAAAATTCACCTGACCTCTGTACTGTGCCTCCTACTGTTTGTAGTAAATGTGATATACTTTCATTTTTTTTTTTTTCCAAAATGATACCTGTGGTGGGACTGAGAGCAGAGCCATGAGAGAGGGCGGGGGGAGGGGGGGCTCTAGGGCAGGGAGTATGAAGGGCAGGTGGTACTGAGAGGGGAAGACCAAGTTGGTAACGCAGTGTGGGACATGACCTGAAGGCTAATAACCGAAACCTAGGGTGAGAGGAACTGGTTTATCAGCGAAAAGGATCAATTTTGGAGTATGTGATGTGATGTAAGAAGTGAGGAGGGATGTGGAGTTTGGGAGAATTTTCAGGAAGGAGTCCTCTGTGGGTGCTGAGGTGAGTGGCCACCTGCGGAGCCCGGACTTACTGTGTGACCACCGGTAAACGTCATTCTCTCTCTGAGCCTTTTTCCTCCTGGGAGAAACGGGGATGGACGTCACCCACTCATGCAAAGCTGGCTCTGCAGGGGTTGGAGTCCCTCCCTGCCCGCCCAGGCTCTGGACGCCACTCAGAGCTTCCGTTCCCCCATCTGCAGCGCCGGACGGTTGGACTTACCCGCGGAACCAGGTCCGAGCCCAGCCGGCCCCTCCAATAGGTGACTTCCTGGGAACTTTCGCCAGGGGACTCCCACAAGGTTCCGGGCTGGGTCACCGTTTTTTTCTCTTTTTTCCTCCTCTTTTAAACTCGTTTTGGACACGTGATCCACTGTGTCCTTTACGTCTCTGCCCCGCCCACCCCGCAGGCCAATCGACACGCGTCCAGGAAGGGGCGGGGCGGCAAAGCTGTCAGTTACAAGAAACCGATTGGTCTGCAGAAGCGCGGGGGGCGGGAAGACAGAAGATCCGACCAATGGAGAGTCGTGGATGGGGTGGTGGGCTGGGAGGGAGGGTTGGAGGCAGCCGGTTGCACCCTGTTCAGGTCGCCGGATACAAAGGGTAGCATAGGTCAGAGAAGGACCTGGGCCTCCAGCCTTGGCTCTCCTGTCTGAGAGCTAATCCCAGCTCTGGGGAGGCTGAGACAGGAGGATTGCCAGTTCAAGACCAGCCTGTCACAAACAAAGCAAGAGCAAAAATTTGTTTCCAAAGACCCTTCAGGAAAGATTCACCTGTTCTCAGTTTCCCATCTGTGCACCACCCACCTCCTTGGGTGGTCTTTGTAATAATTAGACTCTGCACTAGGAAATGGGTGGTCCTGGAGGAGACAGAATATCCCATCTTTCTTGGAACAAAATCCAAATACCTAAACCTGATGTGGTGTCTTGGGTCTGTAATCCCGGCACTCAGAAGCTGAGGACTACCTGGAGTTTGAGGCGTTAGAAAAAAGCTGGGCCTGGTGACTCACACCTGTAAACTCCGCACTGAGGTAAGAGAATCCATCAAGGAAGTTTGAGGTCAACATGGACTACATAATGAGTTCCAGCTCAGCCTGGGCTACAAAGACAAAATAGACCAGGGATGTAGTGTAGATGGTACAGTGCTAACTTAACTTTTATGAGGCCCCAGATTTAACTGCTATCACCAAAAGCACAGGTACATTTGTACATGCACACATGCATGTGGACACGCATACATACACATATACAAAACCCCACACCTGAGGAGGTGCAGAGTTTACAGATGCGAGTCACCATGCCCAGCTTTTTTCTCATATACACATACACAAAACCCCACACCTGTAATCCCAGCACTGGGGAGTTGGAGACAGGATTCCTGGGCTCAGTGGACAGCCCGTCTAGCCAATTAGAGAGCCCTAGTTCTCAGAGAAAGACCCTGCAAATGAAAACCAAGTTTGACCTTTAACCTCCATACACACAAACATGCAGCCACACACAGCCAACACACAAACACGCACATACAGATATACATCCTCACACATGAACACACATTCATGCTTACACATGCACACATACACAAAAAACACCCTTAGGGCCTGAGAGCTGGCTTAGTGTGTAAGGATGCTCGCTGCCAAGCTTGACAATTTTGAGTTCAATCCCTGGAACCCACATATTAGAAAGAGAACCAACTACGGAAAACTGTTCTCTGACCTCCACGGGTAAGCGCACACACACAGAGTAAATATGTGAATGTAAAAAATTTTAAATAATAAAGAACTTGGGAAACCCAGGCAGTCTGTTTTCTGACCCTCAGGACCCCTTTCCCTGCTACCTGCTCACTACATGAACCTCAAGATTCCACCCAAAAGCCACCCCCCACCCCCACCTGCACACACTGGGTCCAATTTCTCCTAAAGATGCTGGACCTGGAGCAAAGAAGGCAGTGGGGTGGGGTGTGAGCCCTGGGTGGTGGGTGGAGGTCTGGCACCCCTCTCAGAGCCAGGATCCTTCTTCTTCTGGCCCTGGCAGCCCTCCCTAGATGCCGTTTAAAGGCCCTCCACACTAATCACTGCAGTTGACTCCGCCTTGCTTAAAGAGGCTTTTGTCCCCTTAATTGGCTATCTCCAGGCGCCTTTCTCTGCCCCCACTCACCCCTGCATCCGTTCTATATCCCAGGTCCAACTATGTGTTAATTGGGCATCTCGGGGATGCTCGGAGAGCCCCCTCCCTTCCCCACCCCTTCCTCTATCAGTCCCTCACCTGCAAGCCTCAGTCTCTGCCCAGTGAGGCAGCACAGGGTTAGGACGCACCCTAATGCCCAGGGTGGCACTCCCATCCCTCAGTGCCAGCCCTCCAGGCCACCTCCCCTGCTCCATTGCAGGTTTGAGAGGTGTTTTCAGATCTGTACCCAGTCCCCCAAAGCAGAGGCCCAACCACTGATGGTTCCTACACAACCAGATCTGAAGCTGAGTGGTGATGAGAAGGGAAGCCCCCAAGGCTAAATTCCAGCATTATTCAGTATGCATTTATTGTGCACCTACTGTATGCCAGGCCCAAGACCCATGGATGAGCAAAGCCAGTGAAATTCCAAACTTCACAGAGTCTCTGTCCTTGGGGGTTGGCACAAGGTAAAGAATGACCCTCATAAATGAAATCGAGTTGGTGCACAACTGTAATCTTGGCACTTGGGTAGCTGAGACAGGGGGATTGTTTCCAGTGCTAGGCCAGCCTGGGCTCCATAACAATATCCTGTCTCAACCAAAATAAAGTGAGAAGGAATGGGGACACCGTGTGGATGAACCTTGAAAAGGGGCTTCAAGGAAAGGTCACACAGTAAAAAATAAAGGAACATATCAAGTAGACATAGCAGCTGAAGACGTGTCCATACTACACGATGGCAAATGGATCCAATCCTTAGCAGTTGAATTCTGAGCCCATTTTCTTTTTTTCAAACTTTTTATTTTATTTTATTTTACTTTTTAATTTTATGTGTATGTGTGTATTGCCTGCATGTAGGTAAGTGCACCCAGGCTGTGCAATGCCTTCGGAGGTCAGAAGAGGCTGTCAGATACCCTGGGACTGGAGTTACAGACAACTGTTATCTGCCATGTGGGTGCTGGGATTCGAACCCAGGTCTTCTGCAAGAACAACCAGTGTTCTTAAGCACTGAACCATCTCTCCAGCCCCCCATTTTCTTTCTTTACTTTTTTTTTTTTTTGGTCTTTTTGAAACAGGGTCTCCCTGTAGCCCCAGCTGTCCTTGAACTCAACAGAGATCTGCCTGCCTCTGCCTCCCAAGTGCTGGGATTAAAGGCGTGTGCCACCACGCCCAGCTTCTTTACTATTTTTTTAAGAAAGGGTCTTGTACACCAGGCTGGCCTTGAACTTGCTATCTGGCCCATGGTGATGATTAGCTCCTTTCTGATTCTCCTGCCTCCACCTTCCAAGTGCTACAATTGCGCGTATGGGACACTAAGTCCAGCTAAGAGCCCATTTTCTTTACCACCCATCAATCCTTGCAGTAGGCTTCCCCAGAGACTTTCAGTGATGATGATAATGATGGTGATGATAGTGATAATGTTCATAATGATGATGATGGTGGTGGTGATGATGATTGTGATGCTGATGGTAAAGATGCTGGTGATAATGATGGTGATGATGATGGTGTTGATGATGTGATGATGGTCATGATGGTGATGGTGATGATGATGATGATGATGGTGATAATGATGGTGATGGTGATGGTGGTGATGATGATCGTGATGGTGGTGACGATGGTGATAATGATGGTGGTGGTAATGATGGTGATGATGATGGTGAAGGTAGTGGTAGTAATAGTTGTATGAATTTCTTCTGGGGAGGTAAAACATATGTTTCTCCCTTCCCTAGACAAGCCAAAGTACAATTCTACCAAATTTCAACTTGATGAGCCAATGAGATTATTGGTTTTATCTATAATCAGGGGTGAGGGGTTACTTCCAGGAGGTTGTGTGATCCTGAAACAGCCTCACAACTAACAAGCCTCTCACCCCAGCATGGATGATGACTTTCTCCAGAGGTGCAGAGATTAAATCTCCCCTTCACTTTTCCTTCTGCAGTCTCTATACTCTATCATCTCCTGAAACCACCAGACTACAAGACCATGTGGAGCTGAGACAGAATTACATATTCCTGGGAGGGGGACACAGGAAAGAATGGCTAGAAACTCAGGTGAGGGTGCAATGACCTTAGGCTCTTCTTTCTTCTATGAGGGAAAATCAATAGGCCCAATCCCAAGGGTCTATAGGAAGTAGTCACAGCTGCTCTAGTGAATACAGTAGATTATGTCCTATGCTTGGAGGACAGTGTTCTACAATTGTGGTGATGATGATGGTGATGATGGTGAAGATAGTGATGATGGTGGTGGTTATAGTGATAGTGATGATGGTGATGATTGTAGGGAGCCCCTGAGCCCCTCAATAGCAAGACCTGATTCCTGGCAAAGCTGTTTTCCAGACATCAAGTCTGACCTGGTTTTAGATTAACCAGTTGGCTATAGCTGAAAGCCTTGCAAAAACATGTTATTCTGACCCAAGCACTTGCTGCTTGAGAGACTCCCTCATTTCTCATGGAACTGCCTAGAAAACTTCTTTGTATTACCTTGTAATCATGCAGGTGTGGCCTTACAATAGAATTGTGGCCTTACTATGGAATTGTGGTCTTACTATGGAATTTACTCTGTGATCATGTGGCGTGGTGTAACTATGAAAATTGCCCTGTTTGCTCCTGCCTCAATAGAATTGTTCCTGCCAACTTTCCCCTTTCTCTCTATAAAAACTGTATTTTCTCCATCAATAAATGAGACTTGATCAGAAAGCCTGTCTTGTCTCCACTTCCCGTGTCTCTCGCCCCATTTCAATCCCCACTCCTCACTCCAGGTTCCCTTTGCAGATCCCGCAGGCTGGGGCAGATGATGGTAATGATGGTCATGATGGTGCTGATTATTAAGATGATGGTGGTGACAACAGTGGTGGTGACGATAATGGTGTTGATAGTGGTGATAGTAGTGATGGTAGCTACAATTGTGTGACACTTAACATGAGCCAAGCACTGTACTGAGCACTTTAGTATTGATTCATAATGAGTCAGCATTCCCCCCACAATGACTATTAGCTCATTACACCCCACACAAATCCTGGAAGGTGGGTGCTATTTAATCTTCACTTTAGATGGGGACATTGAGGCACAAACAGGTAAAGAAAGGGCTTCACCAAGGACCTACTTTTCTATAAAGAGGTTGTTGTCCCAGCCAGCTTCAGGAAGTCTTGAAGCAAAATTTGAGCAAATGGGAGTCTGTCCACCCCTTCTGCTGTCCCAGCATCCCTAG